TTCATATAGAATCTGTGATAATACAGATCTCAAGATGACTTCCTACTCTGACCCCTACATCAGAATAAGGCAAAGATGTTTAATATTGCATCTTCTACAACCTGTCAAAACGCTTCTGTTCAAAGCTAGAGTTATGTCTTTGATCCTTAGCTGATCCTCAAACAGCCAGTTTTTCAGCTCTCTATTAATAGAGTGCTTGACCTAAATGACAAAGCTGTACTGGAAATAACCTATATATAGTAAATAAATACTATGAAATATGATGTCAAAATATTTGTTGACAAATTAACTAATGTTACTGTATGGGAGGAAGATTCTGAATTATTGAAGCAGTGCACAATTATTTTTTTTTTCAGTTCTGTTTTGACCAGTTAACTCTTTTGGAACCTGCCCCAAACCTGATGGTTTCTTTAAGTGTGGGAATCTCTTAAGTGACTCAAAAGTCATCTGAAAGAACATCCACACAATGGAAGGGAAAAAAAACCCTTGAGTATTTTGCTTCTTTACAGAAAACAAATAGAAAAGGCTGTGAGGCTCTCAAAGTCTTTTTTCTTGAAGCTGTCTGTATTCTCTTTTTAGATTTTTTTAGCTGCAAGGTCACAGGTGTGAAATACTGTACTGTAAGTAATGTCCCACAGTGCAAAGGTGGGCTCTTTTGGAGACTAAGATGTTCGTATCATTCTTCTCCTTGGTAGTCTCAGATCACGATAATCCTGTTGGTAGTAGTTTCATGTCTCTATTTAGGACTAACTTGTAAAACTTACCATCTCTATGAGCAAGGGGAAGAAGACAGACCAGCACTTCAGCAAGGTTTGAATTTCCCTTTATAGTGGTACATTTGAAGCTTTAATTAGCACATTTGATCCTCTTTTAAACAAAAATTAGAATGCCTAAAAATGTTTAGCAAAAGGAAGAGAGGAGGTAGAAACATGTTGATCTTGTTTGTTACTTTATCTGAGATCTATCCTGTCTAACTGAACTAGTTGTAAATTGGTTCTCAGTGGAAAACTGGCTATGGCATTCACTGAAGAATACACTTCAGCAAGTAACCTCTGGAGAAGCTGGGCACTAACATGCCCAAGTCTTACTCCTATCTAGATAGATTCACATCTCCAGAACCTGTCACTGAGGTGTGATCCCCAGGGCTCACTGTAGGCGTGAAAGTGAAGAAATATAATTTGGTCTTGCTTTGGAGCATTACTATGCTATTTGAAAAAAAAAAAAAAGAAATTAAAAATACATTAAATTAAAACATTCGGCTACTCTCCATAATACCAAATAAGTTCAGACAGAGCTATTCATGTTTAGACTGTCAAATGCTGATGCAGAAAGTTCATGTCATCTCCAAGAGGAGTTACCTAAAGCTTGGGGAATGATCTTGTGGAACATCTCTCTGTCTAAACAAAGCGTGGAGATTTTGTCAGGAATTCTCATCTACATCAGAAAAAGTTGTTTGTTTTGTTTTTTTTTCCCTGCAGGGAACAGAAAAGGACATTACTAACTAATAATCCACTTCCTTTATTTTAGAAATGGATTTGACTTATTACAAATAGAGGAAATCTGGCCTTCAACCCCAGGTGAATTTGGAGGAGAATGCTAACTTTTGATGTCAGATGCTCAGCTCCAGATTCACCCCCGTGGTTTGGGTTCTATTCTGAGATCTGAATGTGTTCTATTTTCCAATTTGGACTGAAATACATACAACAACTTGCATCTCCTTAGCAAGGCAGAAGCTGATAAGGGTCTTGAAGGAACGATTCCTACTACTTGAACTCCACTTACAGAGAAAAACCTTGTGGCAATGATACCATTGATCTTTAGTCCTTTTCTTGGTTCCCCAGAAGTATTAACCTAATTTTTAGTGGTTGCTTTGTCAGTTCAGCCACAGCTGTATTACTGTATCAAGATTTTTTTGGATCAATTTGATGTTTTTTAGTAGATTAGCCACTAGATGGCACTTAAAGTTTGCTTTCTTTTCCAGAGGTATTTTTGAAAGATCTGTTCATCTGTAATTAAGGAGTTGATGACTCCCACTGGGACTATGTTGGCGGAAAGCAAGATGCAACAACATTTGAGTGAAAGCAGGCAAAAGTATAACCATTAAAGGGGGAACAATGACTATAATTTAAATAAGATTTGGGTGGTTGCAGTGTTTGCATAATCCCTCCTGGCATGCAAGAGCAGTAGAGAAGCCTGTGGCTTTGCTCTCCTGCTGCGTCTCAACAAAAATGGAAAATTGTAATGAACAGCAACGTTTTTCCCATCTTCCATATTCACTCTTCTCACTCCCCCTTCCTCCCATCCTTTAAGTGAAATGCAGTCTACGTAAGGATTGCATTGTAAGGGAGGTAGTGTGTGGCTTAATAAACTCTGCATTGGATTCTCCAAATCAAATGCCTCTTGCTGCGAGTTCAGGACATAAGTTAATACATACTTAGTACGTGTTAACTCAGTAAAGGCAGCCAACAGGAATCCAGATTATCTGCTCATTCTTATTAAGGTTCCCTAGTTCCTGTGTTGGTTGCTACTCCTGTAATAGCACACTCTGTTGCTCCTGCGTTTGTCTTCCCCCTCTGCCTTCTAATTTTTTTAATTCTTAATTTTTTTTTAAGTAACTAGCATTGTATTTTGGCTTAAAGACAGTTAAATAAGTTTCGGTATTAAGTAAACTTCTATGACCCTGCCTATTTCCTGTCCTGTCAAACCTTTCCTTGTAAGAATAACAGTGTCCTTTTATTTGGTGGAGTGTAGCATGATGTTTTTGGCAGGCCAAACATTTTTGACTTGCATAAATTTGTGACCTCAAGTGCAAGAAAAGTGAATGCTTGCTTCAGTGCCTCATGGTTTCTGCCTGAAAAGAAAAGTGTCCACATCACTAACCATTACAATTTCTGAAGGAAAATTATCAGCACACTTATTCCACCTGATTGCACATGACTGCACTTCCAAAGAAAAGAACCAGCAATAAAAATAAATATTTTGCACCTAGTTATGTAAGGTACCAAAAGCTTGAAAATTTAGGGCAGACTGTACTGCCTTACCAGTTTCTAGAACTGGCACACATGGCACTTCTCTCACTAACAGCTATTTGGCAATCTCTACCTCAGTAGGGATGGGATTCTGCAAAGTGTAAATTTCGGTCTGCTGCTGGGCAGAAAATGTCATTGCATGGTTGAAGGTTGCAGGATCAGGTCTGAAGTGAATTAATGTAATTATTTTTCCTAAACTTTCCCCTCCATTAACTGTGTGGTTATTTAGCTCTTTACCACTGAAGTGATGCTTTTCTCCTTCTCTGTTAGAACACAGCAAGAAAACCTCATACCCTGCCAAGTCTGAAAACCTGACAGAATAATTTTATAATTTGAGAGCCCTCATCCAGAAAGAAACTACTGTATTTTAATATGTAAAATATGTTTAAACAAACATATGAGCTGTATGTGCATACTTACTTGTTTCCTCTTAGGCTTTGATGTGTTTTTCATTATGTCACAAAAATGGACTGTTAATCATTGGCCTCTTAGAAAACATTTGTATAGTAAATTTTATAACAGAAATAAGTCTTGTATCAATTAATATTGCTTGTAGCCTTACTATTTAAAGCTGATATCCTTGAACTGAAGAAAGTTCTCTCTTGACCACTATTGATTACAGCAAAGGAGTTTGTTTGCTTTTGTTTTGTAAAGGGAAAAAGGAATAACAAACAGTCATGAATGCTGTATCTTTGGCCAGATTCTTTTAACACGGATGTTTTGTGGTTTATGAATTCCTAGTCTGAAAGGTTGTCTCCAAGTGTCCAAGACGAAATAACTGTGTGTCCTAGTTGGAAGAAAAGTATCCCTTTCCTTTGCAGCTGAGCAAATTGTGCCATGCCTAGCAAGCGCAGCAGAGCGTGGTGTCCAGCGCTGCCTTGCTCACACACCTCAGCCCTGACCACAGCCTTCCTGCCTGCACCACCTCGCGCGCCGGGCACTGCCAAACCACGGGCGCCCTTCCGCAGGGTGCAGGACTGCATCGAGGAATCCTGCTTGTCAGCTTTCCACAGCAGCAAACACAAAACACTGGTCCCACTTTCCTACGCTTCCAGGTAGAAGTTACTACTGCCAAGCTGTCAGCATCACACATAAGTTGAGCCGCTTAAATTGTGCAAAAATATTTTTTTGGCCCATCCTATCTTCTGACATTGTATTGTGTCATATCTACCACATTAGCAATGTGAGGTAACTGAAAAAAAAAAGCCAGGACATCAGGGATCCAGCAAGAGAGAACTCATTGCCCTCTGAGATGTGAAGAAGAGGTGACAGCTGAGTCACAATGGACCGAGAGCTCCCACTTCATCACCTTCATCCTTTTTTTTGTTTGTTTTGTTTTGTTGGGGTGGTTTTTTTTGTTTATTTGCTATGGTTAATATTAAACACCCCAACCAATTAAACCAGTAAAAGTTCTCCAGGAAAAAACTGGATGAACCTCATTGCCTGGAAGACTACTACCAAACCACAAGCTGGAGTGCTGCTCCAGCAAGGTGCTGGCATTTTTGTCAGGGCATCAGTCCTCATCCATGTGCAGCGTGTG